CCCCCTTGACCTGTCCGTCCTCCCTGGACTGACCTATCCCCTCCCTAACTCCCCACCTACACTCACCTTTACTGGCTCCATCCCCGCCTCTTCGACCTGTCTGTTTCCTCTCCACCTATCTTCTCCTCTATCCATCTTCTATCTGCCTCCCCCTCTCTCCCTATTTATTTCAGAACCCCCTTTCCCCTCCCCCATTTCTGATGAAGGGTCTAGGCCCGAAATGTCAGCCTTTCTGCTCCTATGATGCTGCTTGGTCTGCTGTGTTCATCCAGCTCTGCACCTTGTTGTCCATGATTCAGGACGAGCAGTGTCAAACCTGAATTGGAAGGATGTGGGTTTAAGTCTCAGTCCAGAGACTGTGAAGACCACTTTTGTTTTGGACTGTGGATTTTAAAATGGTAATATATATTCCTTAAACGCAAGGACTGAGGAAGATGTTGCAGTTTTAAAAAGAAAACAGGTTGTTAGAACACTGTCTATAGTGTGTAGAACACTGTCTATAGTATGTGCAAGGTGGCCTTATTCAAGCAGACTGTAGACACATTGCCTCTGAGCATATGTCTGATGGAAGTTTTGCCCAGTGACCGACTTTTGATTGGTTTGCCAACCAGGAGCAGTTGCATGTACTCAGGAGTACTCAGCATTAAAAAATAACTTACTGATTGGTTCCTGAGTGCTTGGCTACACTTTGATGTTTGAACGATACAACAGGAGCACCCAGTCTGTGAAGAAGATAACATTTCTCAAGCAGCTAGCTACTTTCTCTCTGCAAATTCCAGTCTTGCAAGGAAAGGACAAATCCTCAACTAGTGAAAGAAAGAACAAGAATTGGTGTGTCCACAATCTTGTGTCCACCTCACAAAAAACAAAAGGAAATGAAGCAGAATATCTCATTGGTGCCTGTAGTCCAGATTGATGTTTCACTGGCCTTTTATTATTCCGTCACCAACTGTAATATTTTACATTTTGTCTGTATGACTGTATGTGGATGGTTGTATTTATTTCAAATTTTGCTTTAACGTGGTAGAATTTAAGTTGTAGATTAATCTGTTTTAAATTAATCTGTTTGCAATAAATAGCTGTTAATTACAGAAATCTGATGAGTGTTTTCTTTTAGTGGAGTTCATTAGTCAGGTAAATTAAGGACTTTGATTAAATCTTTTTACACTTGTGATGACTCAGGGATTTCTAGCACCTTACTCCAGTGACATTAAATCCTGTCAGCCATCTCAGGTGGCCTAAAAAGATTACATGGTTCCTTCAAAATGAAAGCATTTATTTGCACCAATGCTCACAGTTTTAGGGGTGAAACCCTTCCATGTTGATCAGCTCATGAGAAGTCTCAGATGTGTTCAGAGGAGTGGCTTTTTGTTGTTAAAAAGCTGTCAACATTAGAGTTCAAGCCCATCCAGGCCAATCAGCTTGCCTAAAGCAGTGCAGCCAGACTCGCTACCAACAGACCTGACCAGGGTGGGGAAACAAGACTGAACTCAAATAGGGACTTAACTCAAAAAGGTCATCCTTTAGGATTTTGTCCTTGTCTCACAGAAGCCTTTGTTGAAAAGTTATCAAAATTTGCACACAGTCTCCTCACTGAGTTGAAAATAAGTCACCAGCGCTGGAATTGCTGAGTGCTGTAGCTAACTTTTTGTTAAGTGTGAACCCTGGCAGATGTGAGAGAGTCAGTACCATTGCAGTCCTAGCAGTGCTGCATGGTAGCTATAATTATGTGACAGACATCAGTTGCACAGGGCATCTGACAGAGATGGTATCCAACCTCCTCTGTGACTGTCTTTTGCAGCGGCAACCTTACACACTCTTAGGACATGAAACACTGAGTAGCCAGTGGTGGCACATACTCTGGCAGGAGCAGCAGTGGTGATTGGGTCCAGCAGTATTGAATCACAGGTTTGTTGGTGGGGGTCACAGGAAGGTGACAGTTTAATTATTGCAAGGCAACGAGACCAGGTTTTTAAATCCTCTAACTGTCCTGGGAAACTATTCAGTTTCCGAAAGTTGAAACTCTCCGAAGTCTGATTTTAAGCAATTTTTGGGATGGTTCTGGGCAATTGTCCTTTGGAATTTTCCATTTCCAGGGCAATTCCTTCAGGCTCAGCTGCATCGAAATGATCAGATTGTGACAATCAGAACATCTGGGCCAATTTCTAAAAGGGTATGCATGTACACTGAGAACATGGTAAGAAAACATTCAGACTACACGGGGCTTGTTTGATATTCCTGCACTTCTGTTAAGGAGCCCCATTCTCAAGCAGCACATATGACAGAATTACAATTAGGTTTTATTGTCACGTGTACTCAAGTAGAGGGATACAGGAGTATAGTGAAAAGTGTACAATGTTGCCATTCACGGCACCATCTTAGGTGTAAGGTACCTAGGTACAAAATTTTAGGTAAAAAGTGTATAAAACATAACTTAAAAGTTCAACATTACAGTTCTTCTCAGTATTAAGTAGTAAATAAGAAATAAAGTTAGAAGTTCCAAATTACAGTCCTTCTTTAGCCATGGGCCTAGTGGTAACTGTAACGATATCCTTTGATTACCAATCCTCTACTGGGAACACAAATGTAAAATCAGCCATTCTGCATTTCTTCACATGTTCTGGGTTTGGCATATGTTGGTACATTTTAAATGAAAAAGTGGCTGTAGAGAATGGTTTGTGTTTGGTTTCCATTGCATTTTGGAACGGAATATAGTGCCTGTCCCATTTATTACATTTAATTAACAGTCTGTCCTACCAAATCATCCTTTTTCCACTGAGAATTTGTTCTTTCATTAATTTTGCCGACACTAAGTCAATGTCTGTGCAGCATGGTATTGATGTCTCTACAGCCCACAGAAAGTTGGGATGCTGCATTAGTTCTGAAACTTTCAGCTGATACTTGCAGCAATTTTTCCACAGTGTTTGATAAATATCCAAAGGGATGTTTTTAATGTTGCATGTTCTATTGTGCTCATGGGTTTAATTGTATCTTCAAGTTCCACCACCCATCCCAAGGTTTCCGTTTTGCAACTGTCCGGGAAAGCAGCGCTGAGGATTATGTGAAGAAGAGTTTCCCAGAAATGAATGAATATATGAGAAGGTATGATGTGCCAACAACACCAGATGGTGTGAAATACTTGAAGTAAGTGCTATTTCCTATTCCACATTATCAAACTCTTTTGTGTCTAGTTACTGAGCAGATATACGCATGCTGCAGTTTTTCGTTTCTTCCCAAATGTTAAGTTTTGATCCCATCCTGTTCCATAAAACTTCTTGTATCTCAAGTACAGCCCAGTGAATAAAATGTGTGATCAGAACTTAAACACTGGAAATCCTCAGCAAGTCAGATAGAGCCTATAAAGGGAGAAACAGGAGTTGAGATTTCAGTGACTACAATGCTTACCACATTCATGTGTTTAGTTATTTGGTGTTTTCTGGTTTGTCTTTCCACTTCAGCTACTACTTTAAGCCAATTGCAATCATATATGAGAGTCGCCTGGTGTAGTGGGTAGTGATCTCAGAGCTTCTGAAACAGGGACAGGGACAAGTTCGACTCCAGGACTTTACGGCCAAGGAAAATGCATTCAGCATGTACCCCGACAAGTTGGCTATCAACCTGTGAATCCTTCTAACACACGCCAATGGCAGACAGTAGGAGTAGGACAGATTCCTTGGTAAACCATCTGATGGAAAGAAAGTTGGAGCCCCTACCATGACTATTCATAGGTCTAGACTACATGTAAAAGGTACATGTTGCCTCAACAACTCACAACTCCTTCAGTGATGTGCAACACACCACCAGTACTAGCATACATGCTAAATTGCAAATCAGCAATGAGTGACTAAGTGAGGCAAAAAAAAATCAGCTCAGTTTATTTTCCTACTGGATCTATTCTTCACAGCCCCCGAAAGTTATGATGATGTTTGCCCTTGCTTGAGAGTCTAGAACACAAGGGCACAATCTCACGCCAATCATTTAGGACCAACGTGAGGAGAGATTATTTCACTCCGAGAATTGTGGATCTTGGGAATTCTGTACCCCAGAGGGCTATGCATACTCCAACTGCTGACTAAATTTAAAGCTGGGATAGGTTCAGAATCTAAGTACATGCAGGAGAGCAGAATTGAAGCCCAAGACTAGCTGCGATTGTATTAAATGACAGAATAGGTTCAATGGACCATTTGGTCCGATCCTGCTCCCATTTCTTGTGCCCGTGAGTCAGACAAGCTGAGCCAGCAAGCAACTAAAATGTTTTGAATGCACTCCATTTTCCTCAGCCACCCCATTTACATAATTAATCATTACTGCTTTTGCATATGCGGAGGAGCTGGTTTATGAGGCTGAGAGGCGGGACAATTAGAATGGAGTTTGGATGCAATTTAAAAGAGAGGCAGCTATTTGAAAGGTTGCAGAAGGGAGCAAAAATACCATACTTTTCAAAACGCTTTACAACCCTCTTGCTTTTGTTTAAGCAGGGACTCAAAAATTCAACTTAACAAATGCACAGGTCTGATACAGAATGTGGAAAAACAAAGATCAGAAGGAAGTTAGGGAATTTTTTTTTACTACGTAGCAATCTGTTATGATCTTGAAGACAGCATATGCTGATTCTATATTAATTTTTCAAAAATAACCTGAATATTTTCTTCAGTGAGAGAAATATGCAGGGCTTTGTGGAAAGAGCGTGCAAGTGAAGCTTATTGGACAGCTGTTGCAAAGAGCTGACAGGCAAGATAGGCTGAATGGCTGCCTTCTATGTCATGTCATTCTATAATTTTATGAGCCCCAATTTTTTTTTTAATGACTGATAGTTGACATTATGTTGCATGTGGGAGGGCATTCTAGGGTACCCATCCAAAATAGCAGCAGTGTGTATATTAAATATGTGGATTTAAAGAGAAAGTAGGTGATGTGACCTTGCGTCACTGGTCATTTTAAGAGTGGCAAACAGTTGGGAAGGAACCTGTTTCAACCTGCAGAACATCTTGTGCGCTGCTTCCATTGTGAATCAGAGCCTACTAACCCAGAGTTCCACAGACTTGCTTATGTGCATGGGTAGGTTACAATGGCGTAAGCTGAAAATTTACATGTTGTAAATTTATGAGCAAAAATATTGCAATGCAAAAAAATCTATGACACGAAACCTTTCCAGTTGCTAAGTAACCCCTGGAAAAAAAAGTTTCAAAAACATCAGAAACACAAACGTCATGACTGCATTTTTCTTTGAATTATTTTTATCTTTAATTCTGCACCTATCAAATGCGGTCATAAGTGAAATCAATGCACTGTAGTGTAACAGTTGGGAAATTTTTATCTAATTTCTCATTAGCATATTTCCATAATATACTGAAATTTTTTGATGAGCTATTACTTTTGTATTCTTTGTAACTCAGGATAAAGTGCGACAATGGTGACTGTCCAAAATTTAAGTGATCAATAGAGATGGCTATCCTGGGGCTTCCAACCCGATCCTGCTGCCCTTTGCGCCATTTCCTCCCTCACCCCTCTCTTCCACAAAGCCTAAGATTTTTCACTGTAAATTTAAGTACTTTGTCAGAGCCCAGTTAACTCATATCACAGATCAGGGTTCAGACCAGAGACTTAGCGTCGCAAGATATGGTAGTGTAGGGATGAAGATTGAGGGAAAGGATAGCGGTGCCCATTTCAACATTCAACCAGAAACAGGCAAAGGTCATGTCACTGTGTGGAAGTAGTCATTCAGCTGACTTAGTGCCATTTTTCTATCTATCTATTAGCACTCACACAGCTGCTCTCTTAACCCACTCACAAACCTCAATGCCCCAAGCGGAAATCTGGCCAATTAAAGAAACCATTATTCTAGTCAGTAAATTGTGGAAGCAGATTTGGCATTCATTTGTGACTTCAATTTCTTGAGGCTCAAAATCCTCAAATTCATCTCTTTGCTGCTGTGAGCATATAGTCTCTCCCACTTAAGCTGTTAGTGAACATTTGACCATTTGCATTTCATGCCATTTCAAGTTTCTTTAACAATTCTACTATTCTAATTAAATGAGGTGCAACGTCCAACCTGATGGAATCATCTCTCACTCCATCTGTCTACACTCAACATTTGATATTGGCTTGTACCCAAGTGTCTAGTGTGGGATTTGAACCTGCAGCTTTTTGTTCAGAGGCAGAAGTGATAACACAGAGCCAAGGCTCTCTCAGTTTAAGTCATTCAGCTGTTTTTTTTTCCCTGTGCTGAAGCACAACATTAAATATTGATTATATGATTTGGTGGAAGGTCGTACCAGAACCTGGCTGAAGATCTGAATAAACACAATCAAGTGTTTTCCTAACACTACAGATTAATGTTGGTTCAAGTGCAATAACGTGATACATTTTTCAATATTTTAGCTTCAACCTATGGTTTTAGAGATAATATGAATTATTGACTTTTGATTGTGTTGATTGAAAAGGTGACATTTCATTTTGCATTGAAACTGTTTATTGAATCAGATGAGTAATCATATCTAGAAGTAGGTGTTGCGCTCGAGAGAAATGTGATTTTGATAAAAACAATTGCTGGAGGATCAGGTTTAGTGCCTCCCTAAGACTGCGTCTATTTCAAATTAATTGACTATATATTACTGTCAATTAATCGTTTTATTCAATGATTTCAATTCTTCAATGCACATGCCAAATTAATTTGGGATGTGAGTTTTGTGCTGAAGAGGTTCCATTGAGACATAAAGAGTAATGTTGGATTAATATTTAGAGAAGAGTGTGCAAGGCTTTGGGAGAAGGTGGGGTCGGGGTCTTTCCGTGGGGGTGGTGGCACTAAGTTAATTACTCCTTCAAAAGAGCCAGCACTGACATGGCAGAAAGAATTCTAATGGTTCAATGAATTCATTAACAAATGACAGTAAAAATATACTGCTGAGAAGTCATTTCTATAAAATTCAAGAATATGTGCAACAGAATGGTAGATGCAAATTTCAAACCAGTTCCATGGTTGACTAAAGATGTAACTTCTGAACCTAGGAATGATCCTCAAAGACTCGATGCTTTTATAATGGACAAAGCACTGTTAGATTATGAAGTCTCAATTGATGCTGATTGCAAGTTATTAACCGTTGGAAAACCTTTTGCAATTGAAGGTATGCCTTTCTTTATAAATTTTCATGATGTTTTGTAGATATTCTCCCTTTGTTCAAGATAGGTCACATTTGCAAGAAGAAAAGGGGATGAATGCATTTAAGGTTTAAAAATTCTTTTCAAATTGATCAAAGATAATTCAATGCATTTTTTAAAATTGATTCTTGGAAAAACATGTCAACAAGAGAAGGTTAGCTAATTAACACCAGATAAAGAGTTGGGATAAAGGGGACATTTTCAGAATAGCGACCTGCAGCTATTGGACTGCCATGGAGATCAGTGCTGGGACCACAGTTATTTACAATATAGGTTAACAACTCGAATGTATTAGGTGGGCAAGAAAGTGGTGGGGATTACATAGAGTTTGCAGAGGGATACAAGACAAGTTAAGCAAGTAGGCAAAAAACCTTGGCAGATGGAATATAATGCGAGGCAGAACACTTTGACAAGAACAGAGGAGCTGAATATTATCTAAATGGAGAAAAAAATACAGAAATCTACAGCAGATGGATGTGGGAATCCTCATGCACAAAGCGCAAAAAGTTAGCATTCCAACTTTAGTGGGTAACAGGAAAGGCAAAGGGAATGTTGGCCTTTATTTCAAATGGAATGGAGTATACAAGTAACTGTAACTAGTCAGACCACAGTTAGAATACTGTGAATGGTTTTGGGGCCCTTATCTAAGGAAAGACATACTGACATGGAGGCTATCCAGACAGAGTTCACTAGGCTGATACCAGGAATGAAGGAGAGGTTTTGTAGGTTGGGCCACTACTGATTTGAGTTTCCATGAATGAGAAGCAACGTTATTGAAACAAAGTTCTTTGAGGACTCCATAGGGTAGGTGTCAGAATGTTGTTCCCCCATGTGGGAGAATGTAGGACGAGAGGGCATAAACTCAGAATAAGCGGTTACACATTTGAGACAAATATGACGAATTTCTGGTTGCAGATGGTAGCAAATCTGTGGAATTCTTTCCTGCAATGTGCTGTTGAGGCTTGGTCATTAAGTATATTCTAGGCTGAGATTGATTCCCTTAATGATTCAAAATCTATGGTAACAGGGAAAGGCAGAAATTTAAAGTTGAGGAATATCAGGTCAGTCATGTCTCATTGAATAGCGGAGCAGTCTCGATGGGCTGAATGCCCTACTTTTGATCCTCCATCTTGTTGCTAATAATGATCTGTGTTAACTGAGTGATTGATAGGCCAACAGTTTGACTGAGAGACACAAAGAAAACTAAAATATCAACTTTGTGCCAAGCTAGATGCCTGATTAGCAGCTGGAAGGAACATATGAATGGAGGACCCCAAGTCAGGCAGCTTTACCTGGAAGAGCAGGCATTACCTGGAGATAATGAGCAGAAAGGCCTCTATACAGGCAGTCTGCAGCACCTAGAGGAGCAGATGAGCAATAGGGCACCAGGAATGGTAATGATTGTCACAAGGTCAGCCAGCTGAACAACATAGAACATGAGATCCCGGATCAGGGCTGTTAATCTGGATATATCAGGGACCCATGGCTGATAGATAAAAAGGTCAATGTGAGAGATACTGACACTCTAGTACTGCCTCATTCTAGTAGATACTAAAGTCAAGGACTATTAATGTGTAAATAAAGGGTGACTTGGTGACGGATACTGGCCTTTTGGAGTTATCTCAGTGGCGATGAGAGAAAAGCACAACCCTGAAGAAACTTGCTGGCAACATTCGTCTTTGAGTTGGAGTAACCATTTTTTACATCACGTCTTCGTTTGGAAAGCTTCACTCCTTCGACCCTGCTGAAGACTGGGCCCAGAATGTGGAAAGAGTGGATTATTTTTTCCGGGCAGACAACATTGTGGCAGATGAAAAACATAACTCTCCTAAGTAATTCTCCTGACAGCCTGTGGAGCTGCAGCTTTTTTTGTCATTAAGAGCCTAATGTTCCCTGAGGCACTAGATACTAAAACCCATTAAGAATTGACGGATATAGTTTAAGGAACATTACGGCCCCAAACCTCCTGCAATTGTGAGACACTATTGGTTTTAGTCAGCAATTCGAGAACCAGGGGAATCCAGGTTGGGATTTTTGACTCGGTTAAGACTACTGACAGAAGATTCTTGTTTAACCTTCAATGAGATGCTCACAGACCATCTGGTATACCCATATTAACGATGTAACTATGCAAAAACACCTATAAGCTGAAGGTAATGATACTGGCTTTATCATTGGAAAATGCAGCATGTGAAACAGGAGTTGTAGGGCATTCTGATGGAAGTGGACACTTGCCAGTTCGACTGAGCTCGGAGAATACCACTTGTGTGAAAGCAATTGCATAGCCTCACTCAGGACATATCCTGAACAGAGGGACTCTAGATCAGCCCACAGCAAAACCTCAAAACAAAGCCAAGCCTCGGCCAAATAGTTAAAATTATCTTCAGGAATCAGGAGGGCAAGCCATTGTAGCTGTTGCCAGTATACAGAATGGAGACATCAACGAGAGTCCTGCTCGATCTCAATTGAGTAAGATAATCATAGGCCAGTATCCAGGAGAGTTCATACCCTGGAAAGTCCACCTACATCTGGTTTGGAAAAATTAAATTGCTTAGCAACATCAAAATCAGAACCATTCAAGTTAAACATCTGGTTAAATGATCATCCAGTTCTAAAGAAGGTCAACACCAGTTTGGCCATGTAAGTAATCACAGAACTGGGTTTTAAATAAAATTTGCTCTGGACTCCAGCCTTAAACTTTGTGCAAGATTCAGCTCGCCTGAGAACCAACACTGGGGAACCTTTGCAGATTAAGGGTCGACGTCGGTTCCAGTCTTTTATGAAAAGCGGCTGGTTCAGTTCCCAGTGGTTGTAATAAAAGGCTGGGCCCAAGCTTGATGGGGCGAAATTGGATGCGAGAGATTCACCAAGATAGGCTCAATATTTTTCCATCATAAAATGTCTGTCTTAAATACCTGGAAGCTTTCCAGGAAGGTCCGGGGACTATCAGAGGAGCCAAGGCCATCTTGCATGTTGACCAGGAAGCAATTCCATGATTCCACAAGGCCCGCCCAATGCCAATTGCCTTATGGGCAAAAAGTAGAGGCAGAAATCAGAAGGCTGGAAAGCGAAGGAATCATCAAACCAGTCCAATTCATGGAATGGGCAGCATTTGATGTACCGATTTTGAAGCCTTACAGATCGGTTCGTCTTTGTGGGGATTTTAAATAAAAATGGTAAACTGCTTTTCATAGCTAGATAAATATCCATTCCCTTAAATAGAGGATTTGTATGCAGTAATGTCAGGGGGAGCTGTCCTTCACAAAGCTGGACGTGATCCAATGCTTACTTGCAATTGTGCTCAGACCAGGATTCCCAAAAGTATGCTACAATTAATACCTATAAGAGCTGTGCCAATACACAAGACTGCCATCTGGGGTATTGTCAGTCTGTTCAGTTTTTCAGTGGACAATGGAGAACGTTTTCGCAAAGGAAAACTAATAAGGTACACAGGGAGATCTTGGATATGGTCCTAAGGCAATTTTCCAAGGCAAGCATACACCTAAGAAGGGAAAAATGTGTATTCCAGGCATCCCAAGTGACCTATTTTGGTACACAGTTGACAAGACCAGGTTATACCCGTTGCAAGCTAATGTGAAGGTGATCAAAGGTGCCCCAGTTCCCATGTCTGTCAGAAAGCGTAGATCATTTCTTGGGCTGTTAAATTATTATGTAAAGTTTATACATGACTTGGCATCCATCCTGGCACCTTTGCATCAACTCCTAAAAAAGGGGCTGTCTTGGAAATGGTTGTATAGACAAGCCTAGCTGATAATGAAGTAAAGAAACAGCTGTCATCCTGTAAGGTGTTGGCATATTATGATCCCAAGAAAGATTGGCGCACTGACCTCTACATCGCCGAAGCCAGATGCCAACTCTCCGACACCTCCTCCTACACCTCCTCCTATCACCCCCTTGATCATGACCCCACCCCCAACCACCAAACCATCATCTCCCAAACCATCCACAACCTCATCACTTCAGGTGACCTCCCACCCACAGCCTCCAACCTCATCGTTCCCCAACCCCGCACCGCCCGCTTCTATCTCCTTCCCAAAATCCACAAACCTGACTGCCCTGGTCGACCCATTGCCTCCGCCTGCTCCTGCCCCACCAAACTTATCTCCAACTATCTGGACTCCATTTTCTCCTCCTCGGTCCAGGGACTCCCTACCTACATCTGTGACACCACCCACGCCCTCCACCTCCTCCAGAACTTCCAATTCCCCGGTCCCCAACACCTCATCTTTACCATGGACATCCAGTCCCTATACACTTGCATTCCCCATACAGATGGCCTAAAGGCCCTCCGCTTCTTCCTGTCCAGCAGGCCCGACCAGTCCCCTTCCACTGACACCCTCATCCGCTTAGCCGAATTCGTCCTCACCCTCAACAAATTCTCTTTCAATTCCTCCCACTTCCTACAGACAAAGAGGATGGCCATGGGTACCCGCATGGGCCCAAGCTATAAACCGGCTCTAAACCCCACCTCTTCCTCCATTACATTGATGACTGTATCGGCGCCGCCTCGTGCTCTCACGAGGAGCTCGAACAGTTCATCCACTTCACCAACACCTTCCACCCCAACCTTAAGTTCACCTGGACCATCTCTAATACCTCTCTCTCCTTCCTGGACCTCTCTGTCTCCATCTCCGGCAACCACCTAGAAACCGATATCCATTTCAAGCCCACCGACTCCCACAGCTACCTAGAATACACCTCCTCCCACCCACCTTCCTGCAAAAATGCCATCCCCTATTCCCAATTCCTTTGCCTCCGCCGCATCTGCTCCCAGGCTGAGGCATTCCACTCCTGTACATCTCAGATGTCCTCGTTTTTCAAGGACCGCAACTTCCCCCCCTCAGTGGTCGAGAACGCCTTTGACCGTGTCTCCCGCATTTCCCGCAACTCATCCCTCACATCCCCTCCCTGCAATAACAACCAAAACAGAATCCCCCTCATCCTC